CCTATATGCAAAACAGAAAAAGAGACTCAGATGTATAGAACAGACTTGTGGACTCTGGGAGAAGGCGAGGGTGGGATGTTTCAAGAGAACAGCATCGAAACATGTATATTATCTAGGGTGAAACAGATCACCAGCCCAGGTTGGGTGCATGAGACCAAGTGCTCGGGCCTGGTGCACTGGGAAGACCCAGAGGGATGAGGTGGGAGGGGGGACCGGGATGGGGAATACATGTAAATCCATGGCTAATTCATTTCAATGTATGACAAAAACCACTGCAATGATGTAAAGTAATTAGCCTCCAACTAATAAAAATAAATGGAAAAAAAAAAAGAGGTCAGCGCCTAGTGGGCCTCTGACCCTGAGCACATCACCACACTCTGTCTTGACAGCAGTGAGGAGGCCCTTGTTCTCAGGAAGAGACAGAAGAAACCTCATCTCTCCATCCAGTTAACTCCTCTCACGTCACCAAGAGGAGGGTTAGTGTTGCAGAAGAAAAGAACTCAGGCTGCTGTATCCGACAAGCCTGGTGTGAGTCTCAGCTCGACACTGATCAGGACTTCAGAAAGTGGGTTAATTTCCCAGAACTTCCAGTTTCACTGGCAAAATGAAAATTTTAAAACATACCTAACACACACAGGGATGATATAAGGTTAATGTAATGTGAGAACAAAAGATGGTTATCAGTGAGGGCCTCCCTGGTGACTGAAAGGGCAGTGATGTCAGACACGCTTGTGTGCCAAGTCGCTTCAGTTATGTTTGACTCTTTGCTACCCCAGGGAACTGTAGCCCACCAGGCCTCTCTGTCCATGGGATTCTCCAGGCAAGAATACTGGAGTGGGTTGCCATTCCCTTCTCCAGGGGATCTTCCCAACCAGGGATGAAACCCACGTCTCTTACGTCTCCTGCACTGGCAGGTGGGTTCTTTACCACTACTGCCACCTGTGATGTCAGAGAGATGGACCTAAATCAGCTTCTAGGTACATACTTCCACCCACCACCCCTGCCTATGCTCCCCATCAGAAGGCAAAATCTAAACAGAGAAAGGAATACTGAAAAAGATATGTTACCAGAAAAAGAACAGGACAAAAGTGGGGCTTCAGTGGGTCCTCAAGTACTTGTATGAACGTGATGGAATTCTAGATCCTGACCACCCCAGTGTGGCCTGAGGACCAGCAGTTTGGGCATCACTGTCATCACTGGGGAGCTCATGAGACATGCAGGCTCTTGGGTACCACCCCAGACCCAGGGAAGCAAAAACAAGAGCCCCAGCTGACAATACTGAAGTGAAGAATAGGATATATGGTATCTTAGAGGCAGGTCTACCCAATCATCAAATAGCTTGAACTGCACAAGCCAGAAGTTGTAGAAAAGAATCAAAAAATTCGTCAGCAGTCAACCCTTTGTCAACAAAGAGTCAATGAATTATGAAATAGAAATGAAGCTTAAAAATGCTCTAGGCCAAAAAAAAAAAAAAAATGCTCTAGGCCTAAATTAATGTCTGTATGCAAAAAAAAAAAACCACACAAACTTTGACATTAAGTCAGAACTACGTACTGTTTAATAGATGTCAGTTCAAACTGCAGGGGGCCCAGCCCTTCCTAAAAGGAACAAACCACCAAAGATTCCTCAGCAACAAAGGTAAAAGATTTTCTGCTCTCCTTACTTCCTTGGGGTAAATCCGAACACAGAGACAGGGAGAGTGGTTTAGTTGCTAAGTCATGTCCAGCGCTTGAGACCCCACGGACTGTAACCCGCCAGGCTCCTCTGTCCATGGGATTTCCCAGGCAAGAATACTGGAGTGGGTTGCCATTTCCTTCTCCAGGGGGACTTCCCAACTCAGAGATCAAACCTGCATCCCCTGCAATGCAGGAGGTTGGTACCTAAAACTGTAAAAAAAAGAAAAAAAGGAAAAAACCTCCATCCATGAATAAGATAACTCTCTTTAAACCCAGTCTCCTTAAGATCATCACAGAATTGAAGGGGGCAAAGCAGTCTCCAATGAGAATACAAATAACGGAATGAGAGAGAGAGAAGGAACGAGCCTTCCCAGAGTTGTGAGCATAGCACCTGTGGCCCGTGACTCCTAACAAGTACAAGGAGAAGGACAGTAACCCAGTAGGGGGGAAGCTAACAACGGGTCTGTGTCATGGAAAGGCGACCCCTCCACTCCCACGGAGGGAGCCCTGCGTCTCACTCACCCAGCAGGGCAGCCACTATGCCCACCAGCCCTGTGCCAGCACCCAGCTCCACAGCAGAGCAGCCCCGGAGCTCCACAGTGCCCATCTCCAGATACGTGGCAAGAACGACAGCCTGAGTCAAAACACAGTGTGATGGTTAAGGTCAACATGAGCTGGAGGATTTCCAGCAGGCTCCGTGCTCCAGGAAGTTACCACGCACCCCCTCCCCACCAGCAGGCTCAACTCCCAGGTTAAGGGCACCCAGGGAACTCAGCTGCTGCCGGCAGGGTCACCTAGAGCAAGCCTGGATACTGAGTCCCACTGCCCAGCTGCCCCCAGCCCCTCCGGAGGCCCTCAGGGGGACAAGCAGCCGTCAGTCATTCTGTCCACCCGAGACCGGGTCCTGCTGAACCTGGGAAGGTTAACTTCTGCGTCACAGCACTCTGACACTCGAGGTTTACAAACCCATTCTGGCAGAGCTGACATGAACAGTCTCTGTGATCTGGCTTAAGGAATGTCCAGTTCCTAAACCGAGTTCAGATCAGCAAGGCCACAACCAAAGGGGACATGGCCACATATTATTAGTATACGGAGCAATTCCTCTTCTTGGTGAGAATGAAGGAGATTCACCCATTCCTCACTATTCTGTATCTTTATTACTCTTTCTGAGAAAACTTTTCTTGTAACCTTAGACTGCATTCCTAGAAGTAGTACTACTGGGTTACAGATATATCAATATTTTGTATCGCTGAAGGTTTCTGACACCCCTAATACAATGTTAAGATTGTAAAACTGTATCTATGCCAATCATTTATCCAGTATTCCCTGAATCCTGACTTCCCACTGAATCCCAGGTGTGGCTGAGGGCAAGTCTGCCACAAGCAGCTGAAAGAACAGGGCTGGGGAGAGGAAAAAGCAGCAATTACAGTATCATTTTTTGATCATGACAACTGTGGAAAACTTAAAAGAAAACACATGATCCTCGTTTGGGGCTTTGTCAGTGTCATTTTCTTTGTACAATGTTAAACTTAAAAACTAAGTGTCCAAAGCAGCTAGGGGCTCAGGTGGCAAGTCATTCCATTTCTCTCAGCTTTCTTTACTCACCCTTAAAATGCAATCTATTTGAGGGGGCGGGGGGCAGGAAAATGATTCTAATGGGTAGAGGTTTTCTGGGGATGGGGTGTGGTGATGCAATGTTTTAAAACTGAGCATAGTGGTACTTGTACCACTGTGAATTTATTTAAAAAAAAAAAACAACCTTAAGTGAAAGGTACAGTATATGAATTACAAGCCAATAAAGCTGTTACTTTTCAAAAATAAGAGCAGTCTTATCATCAATTGCTGATATTTTCAGAGGCCTCCGGGGCTCACTTACCGCGTCCCAAACCACCGCTGCGACTCCCAGTTGCTTCCAGTCCTGCCGGATCTGGATCGTGTGGTTTGCAAAGGAGAAGGTGGCCAGAGGCTTGTGGAATCTCTGCAGCCCCATCTCCGCGGTCTCCACATAGGGCACCAGGGCCATCTCGCACCCGCCCAGCTCTCTGCTCCCTCCAAGCTGTGGGGCAAAAGAATCCTGAGTGAGGCTCTAGCCAGAAAATGCATGACCTCTTTAGTAGCTCCAAATGCTCAAAGCCAGTTGTTACAAGTTCAAAAGAAGAAAGAGTTGGGGGGAAGTCTCTAATCCCTTTTGCACGGCCCTCCTGGGAAGTGAGATTTCGCTCTGAATTCATGCCAAAGGTGCTGGATGCCCTATACACTCAGTGAATTGGCAGCGCGCTAAGAGTGAGCGAAGTGGAGGTGAGCTCAGGGCGCGGAGAAAGTGGCGCTTTCTAAAACTCCTGGGCCCGCGTGGACTGCGGCTTGCAACCCGCCGCGGTCGGCGGGGCATCTATTGTTTTGCGTTGGTCTCCCCTCGCTCCCTCTCCCTCGGTGCGTTCAGTGGCGACCACGACGGACTCGAACCTGAACTTCAACCTGGGGTTAACGTTGTGACTATCCTGCTTTATGATACCAGCTGGATATCCACGGTCTACGCAGATCCATTTCCTGGAGACTGAAAGTGAAAGACACTCGGGGATCCTGAATCACTCGAGGGGAGTGGGACCCTGGGTCCGGCATGGAGTCGGCCCCCCGCCGCGGCTGGGAACCCTCCCGGGAGTCGCCCGCCCCCCCAACCCCAAAGAGGGGCGGCGGGCAGGGACGCTCGTCTTTACCCCGGGCCCCGGGGCTACGGGAAGCGGCGGGAGCCTAGAGAGGGGCCGCCGGCTCGGCCTGGCCTCACCCCGCCCCGGGAGCCGGGAACCTCCCCGCCGAGGGCGCGGCCAGCAGCCCGGGCGCCCGGCGGGCCCCACAGGGGCCCGCGGCACGGCCTTGTCTCTACTTACGGCTCCAGAGACGGCCTCGAGTGGCGCGCGCGCCGCTTTCCCCGCCCCCAAGGTCGGAGGCGGAAATGACCAGCTTTAAAGGGCCAGAGAGCCGGTAGACCGCCGAGTCGGGCGGGGGCGGGCGGCCGGCTCGGAGACACCCGTTTCCGGTCCCCCGCCTTCCCAGAACAAGCGATTCCCCTTGCGCCAGCGACGCGGAGCGGCGGGTGCAGTGTGGGGACCAAGAGCGGGGATGGCGGGGTGGGGGCGGGGCGGGGTTCCCGGAGCATGAGTCCGCAAGGTATCGGCGCCCCCAAGTCAGTTTCTCTGGCCGCGAGAGTGGAGTTCGTGGGGGATCCACGCTGTCTAAATCGGTGTATTCTATAGCGACCACCGCAGACTCGATCCTGAACTTAAACTGGGCGGAGTCGACCCTGAAGTTAAACTGGGCATTAACGGTATGATTTTCCCGCTTTACGATACCCTCTGGATATTTACGATACCCTCTGTTATTACTGCCCCACCATCATCTCCAGTATTAGATACAAGTGACATTCGCAAAGGGCCAATGAATATCTACAACCTTAATGCCATAATCCGGGCCCAAATCAAACATCTGCGGAAAGCCGTGGACCGGTCCTTGCAACTGTCTCGTCAAAGAGCTGCAGCACGGAAGCTGGCCCCCGTGATCGATAAAGACAAGGAAGACCTGATGGAAGAGATCCTCGAACTCAGGTCCCTACTGAGCACCAAACGGGAGCAGATCGCCACACTGAGGGCGGTGCTGAAAGCCAGCCAACAGGTGATCTCACTCTACTGATGAGCTATGCTAGCCAAAACTTCAGTTTATGCCTAAACGTTTCCAGTGTCCACTGCCACCAGGATGGGAGAAGGAAATGGCAACCCACTCCAGGATTCTTGCAGAGGAGCCTGGCGGGCTACAGTTCATGGGGTCACAGAGAGTCGGACACGACTAAGTGACTAACACTACTACACTACTGGATATACACCGCTGGAGATGGGGAGGCGCGGAGGGCGTGGGTGCCACCGCGGCCGGGGACCGCGAAGCCAACCCGCCTGTCGCTGGACAGGCGGTGGATCCACCTGCCAGTCTATCTGCTAGTTCTGGCGCTCGCGCTTTTGTGTGTGAGTGGTTTTAAAATTTGTGCACTTGCTGTTTTTTAGTTTTAAGGGTGATCAGTTAGCGGGTGTAGGAGAAAATTCGCCCCTAAGAATACGTGGTCACCCATTCGTCCTCGTCTCACCAAGGTGAAGTCCAAATTAGTGAATTCGCGCGCTCCGTGGCTGCGGAGTGGGAAACGAGACCTGCACGTGGCTCCCCGGCAGGGGTTGTTGCTAGCGGCGGGACGAGCGGTCAGCCGGGATCCTGTCTCCTTCCTCCCCTGGCCAAAAGGTCAGCACACCTGCCCTGGGGGCCCCCGTTCTTGAGGCGAAAGCTGCTCAGAGTGTGGCATCTGGCCGCAGGCCCCTGGGAGGGACGCGGTTGGAGTGAGCATCCAGGAATGTGACTGCGCTGGGGCTTGGAGGGAGGGGGGCGAAAATGGCGAGATGAGGGCTACCCTCCTTCTCCCTGGAAGGTTTCTTTTTCCTCTTGGGTCTTGACCCCCAGACCCCGCAACCCACCCGCTGCCGCTCTCTCGCAGCGAGTTTCAGCTCCGCCTGCACTTTGGAATAAACTGGAGCGCTTTTCAACCCTGCAGGGCTGGACGCTGCCACTGCAAAGTCTCAGCTGGTAAGCGGTGAGGCCAGAGCAATCCTATTTTTCGGAGCTTCCCGGGCGATTCCAGCAGGCAGCCTGGACCACCCACCCCCCCCACCCCCCCCACCAGCCCCCGCCAACCGCGTCCCCGCTTCCTATTCCTCTCGCATACCGCAGGGGGCGTGCTCTGCTCTCTGTGCAGATTTCCTAAGAAAGCTGGGACCCTGGGCTGCAAAAGTGACTGGAAGAACTTTGAAGGGCACCAGTGAAAATCTTTTCTTTTTTTCTTTCCTTTCTTTGCTTTGCTTAGTTATTCATCACTAACTTTTTTATGTTAGTGGCATAAACTGGCTGTTTTATGCCAAAACTGGAAAGAAAGTGCAAGGATTCCCCAAACACTCCCTGCCCCCAAGCACTCCCTGCCCTGTGCCTAGCCTCCCCCATTTATCATCTCCCACCAGAATGGTACATTTATTACAACTGATGAACCTACCCTAACACATCATTATCACCCCAAGACCAGAGTTTACACATTAGACTTCACTGTTGGTGTTGTCAGTTCAGTTCAGTTCTGTTGCTCAGTCGTGTCTGACTTTGCAACCCCATGGATTGCAACATACCAGGCCTCCCTGTCCATCACCAATTCCCGGAGTCCACTCAAACTCATGTCCATTGAGTCGGTGATGCCATCCAACCATCTCATCCTCTGCTGTCCCCTTCTCCTCCTGCCCCCAATCCCTCCTAGCATCAGGGTCTTTTCCAATGAGTCAACTCTTCGCATGAGGTGGCCAAAACATTGGAGTTTCAGCTTCAGCATCAGTCCTTCCAATGAACACCCAGGACTAATCTCCTTTAGGATGGACTGGTTAGATCTCCTTGCAGTCCAAGGGACTCTCAAGAGTCTTCTCCAACACCACAGTTCAAAAGCATCAATTCTTCTGCGCTCAGCTTTCTTTATAGTCCAACTCTCACATTCATACCTGACTACTGTAAAAACAAGAGCCTTAAGTAGACGGACCTTTGTTCGCAAAGTAATGTCTCTACTTTTCAATATGTTGTCTAAGTTGGTCATCATTTTCCTTCCAAGGAGTAAGCATCTTTTAATTTCATGGCTGCAGTCACCATCTGCAGTGATTTCAGAGCCCAAAAAATAAAGTCTGCCACTCTTTCCCCATCTATTTGCCATGAAGTGATGGGACCAGAGGCCATGATCTTTGTTTTCTGAATGTTGAGCTTTAAGCCAACTTTTTCCACTCTCCTCTTTCACTTTCATCAAGAGACTCTAGTTCTTCTTCACTTTCTGCCATAAGGGTGGTGTCATCTGCATATCTGAGGTTATTGATATTTCTTCCAGCAGTCTTGATTCCAGCTTGTGCTTCATCCAGCCCAGCATTTCTCATGATGTACTCTGCGTATAAGGTAAATAAGCAGGGTGACAATATACAGCCTTGATGTACTCCTTTCCCTATTTGGAACCAGTCTGTTGTTCCATGTCCAGTTCTAACTGTTGCTTCCTAACCAGGATACAGATTTCTCAAGAGGCAAGTCAGGTGGTCGGGTATTCCCATCTCTTTCAGAATTTTCCACAGTTCATTGTGATCCACACAGTCAAGGCTTTGGCATAGTCAATAAAGCAGAAATAGATGTTTTTTATGGAACTCTCTTGCTTTTTCAATGATCCAGCGGATGTTGGCAATTTGATCTCTGATCCCTCTGCCTTTTCTAAAACCAGCTTGAACATCTGGTAGTTCATGGTTCACATATTGTTGAAGCCTGGCTTGGAGAATTTTGAGCATTACTTTACTAGCATGTGAGACGGGTGCAATTGTGTGGTAGTTTGAGCATTCTTTGGTATTGCCTTTCTTTGGGATTAGAATGAAAACTGACTTTTTCCAGTCCTGTGACTGGGTTTTCCAAATTTGCTGGCATATTGAGTGCAGCACTTTCACAGCATCATCTTTTAGGATTTGAAATAGCTCAGCTAGAATTCCATCACCTCCACTAGCTTTGTTTGTAGTGATGCTTTCTAAGGCCTACTTGACTTCACATTACAGCATGTCTGGCTCTAGGTAAGTGATCACACCATCATGATTATCTGGGTCGTGAAGATCTTTTCTGTATAGTTCTTCTGTGTATTCTTGCCACCTCTTCTTAATATCTTCTGCTTCTGTTACGTCCATACCATTTCTGTTCTTTATTAAGCCCATGTTTGTATTAAATGTTCCTTTGGTATCTCTAATTTTCTTGAAGAGATCTCTAGTCTTTCCCATTCTATTGTTTTCTTCTATTTCTTTGCACTGATCACTGAGGAAGGCCTTCTTATCTCTCCTTGCTATTCTTTAGAACTCTGCATTCAAATGGGTATATCTTCCCTTTTCTCCTTTGCTTTCCACTTCTCTTCATTCCACAGCTATTTGTAAGGCCTCCTCAGACAGCCATTTTGCTTTTTTGCATTTCTTTTTCTTGGGTCTTGATCCCTGTCTCCTGTACAATGTCATGAACCTCCATACATAGTTTATCAGGCACTCTATCAGATCTAGTCCCTTAAATCTTTTTCTCACTTCCACTGTATAATCATAAGGGATTTGATTTAGGTCATACCTGAATGGTCTAGTGGTTTTCCCTACTTTCTTCAATTTAAGTCTGAATTTGGCAATAAGGAGTTCATGATCTGAGCCACAGTCAGTTCCCGGTCTTATTTTTGCTGACTATATAGAGCTTCTCCATCTTTGGCTGCAAAGAATATAATCAATCTGATTTTCGGTGTTGGCCATCTGGTGATGTCCATGTATAGAGTCTTCTCTTGTCTTGTTGGAAGAGGGTGTTTGCTATGACCAGTGCATTCTCTTGTCAAAACTCTATTAGCTTTTGCCCTGCTTCATTCCGTACTCCAAGGCCAAATTTGCCTGTTACTCCAGGTGTTTCTTCACTTCCTTCTTTTGCATTCTAGTCCCCTATAATGAAAAGGACATCTTTTTTGGCTGTTAGTTCTAAAAGGTCTTATAGATCTTCATAGAACCATTCAACTTCAGCTTCTTCAGCATTACTGATCGGGGCCTAGACTTGGATTACCTTGATATTGAATGGTTTGCCTTGGAAACGAACAGAGATTATTCTGTCGTTTGTGAGACTGCATCCCAGTACTGCATTTCAGACTCTTCTGTTGACTGTGATGGCTCCTCCATTTCTTCTAAGGGATTCTTATGCACAGTAGTGGATATAATGGTCATCTGAGTTAAATTCACCCATTCCAGTCCATTTTAGTTCACTGATCCCTAAAATGTCAATGTTCACTCTTACCATCTCCAGTTTGACCACTTCCAATTTGCCTTGATTCATGGACCTAGCATTCCAGAATCCTATGCAATATTTCTCCTTACAGCATCAGACTTTGCTTCCATCACCAGTCACCTCCACAACTGGGTGTTGTTTTTGCTTTGGCTCCATCCCTTCATTCTTTCTGGAGTTATTTCTCCACTGATCTCCATAGCATGTTAGTGTACATTTTATGAATTTGGACAAGTGAAGAAATGTACCCATCATTATAGTATCACATAGAGTAGTTGCACTTCCTAAAAATCCTCTGTCTTCTTCATATCCATCCATAACCTTTGGCAACCACTGATTTTTTTTTTTTTTAACTCTCCATTTTTTTAAAAAACTCCAAAAAGTTTTGCATTTTCCAGGACGTCATATAGTTAGAATCGCACAGTATGTAGCCTTTTGCTTGGTGTGCATTTCAGGTTCCTTCATGTCTTCTCATTGTTTGGTAGTTTATCTCATCTAAGTGCTGGATGACGCACACTCCCTGTATGGATGTAGTACAGTTTGTCCATTTACCCACTAGGAGACAGCCTGGTTGCTTCCAGGTTTTGGCAGTCATGAATAAAGCTGCTACAAACATTCCTGTACAGGCTTCTCTATGGCCATAAGTTTCCACCTCCTTTGGGTAGAGACCAAGGAGCATCACTGCTGAGTCACATGGTAAGAATATGTGTTGTTTTATAAGAAACTGCCAAACTGCTTTCCAAAGTGACTGCACGATTTTGCAGTCCCACCAGAAATGAATGAGAGTTCCTGTTGCTTCACATCCTCGCCAGCATCTGGAGTTGTCAATGTTTGGATGTTGGCCCTTCTAATGGGCTTGTAGTGGCCTCTCAGTGCTGTTTTAATTTGCAATTCCCTAATTACATGTGACACGGAGCATCTTTTTTTCCTCCAGTTTTATTGTGATATAATTGACATAACTTTGTATTAGTTTATGGTATACAACATAATAGCATCATATATGTAAATATTGCAAAATGATTATTACAGTAAGTTTAGTTAATATCCATAATCTCACATAGTTGCAGTTTTTTTCCTTGTGGTGAGAACTTTTAAGATCTGCTATCTTAAGTCGTTTCAGTCATGTCTGATTCTTTGTGACCCCAGGGACTGTAGCCCTCCAGGCTCCTCTGTCCATGGAATTTCTCAGGCAAGAATACTGGAGTGGCTTGCCATGCCCTCCTCCAGGATATCTTCCCAACCCAGGGATCAAACCCACATCTCTTATGTCTCCTGCATTGGCAGGCAGATTCTTTACCACTAGCACCACCTGGGAAGCCTATAGGTGGATTTTAGGGTAACTCTGTTCTATTTTTAATTTTTTGAGGAACCTCCATACTGTTTTCCATGGTGAGTGTAGCGATTTACATTCCCACCCACAGTGCCCAAGGGTTTCTTCTCTCCACGTTCTCACCAACACTTGTTATCGCTTACCTTTTTGATAATAGGCATTCAACAAATAGCTGATTGTGGCTTTGATTTGTATTTCTGTGGTGATTAATGTTGCTGAGCACCTTTTCACAATTGTTGTTTGGACCTTTTTAAAATCTGATTGTTTTCTTATAGTTAGATTTTAAGAGTTCTTTGTATATTTTGGATAATACTCCTTTATTAGATGAGTCTTGGAAATATTCTTCTAGTCTGTGGCTTGTCTTTTTATTCTCTTGAGTTTCGTTTGCAGAACAGAAATGTTTTATTTTAATGCAAGTTAGGCTTATCAGTTATTTCTTTCATGGATCGTGCCTTTGGTATTATACCTAAAACATAATCACTATGCTCAAGGTCGCCTAGGCTTTCTCCTATTTTATCTTCTAGGAGTTTTATAGTTTTGCATCTTAACTTAAGTCCGTGATCCATATCAAGTTGATTCTTGTGAAAGGTGTAAGACTGTATCTAGAATTATTTTTTCCATGTGGATGTCTAGTTATTCCAGCATCATTTGTTGAAAAGACAGTTTTTTTTTTCTCTCCCTTGTATTGCCTTTGCTCCATCTGGGGATGGGGTTAGGGACCGCCCCAAATGGAGCCCTTTCCTAAAGACCTGCAGACCCCACATGGGGGCGCTTCCTAACCCCATCCCCCAGTGGAGCAGAGCCCCAGCCAACATGTGTAATACGTGAACCACGAGTGAGAAATAAACCTTTGTTGAGCTCACTATTGAGACTGGGGGTTGTTATTACAGTATAATGCAGCCAAAGCTGCCAGAACACAAGTGTGAAAAAGACGGAAATTTCAGAACAGGGAGAAGTTTATAGTGTGGGTGGCTCAGTTTCAGCAAATGTGATCCTTTTTGGGAGCTCTGCATGGATCTTCCCAGGTGGCACAATAGTAAAGAACCTGCCTGCCCATGCAGGAGACCCGGGTTCAACCTCCTGGAGGAGGAAATGGCAACCCACGCCAGTGTTCTTGCCTGGGAAATCCCATGGACAGAGGAGCCTGGTGGGCTACAGTCCATGGGGTCCCAAAGAGCGGGACACAACTGAGCACTCACGTACCTCCTACTCTCCCATGTTAGCATCAGCATCAGCTGAGACTATCGACTGCGTTTATCCAACGGTGATTCTAAGGCTTGAAGACCATTTTCCTACTTGGGACAGTCTTGTGGGAGATATGCAAAAAGGTAGATTCACTTTCTGGATTATTTATAATTCCTAAGTGCAGCTCGTTCATAATATAACAATCTCTAAATCTGTGTGCTTTTTTGCTTATAGCAAGGTGGCTGGGCTTCAGTCCCTGGTCATCTCCTGGACCCAAACAAATAAAAGGGACCACGCTGAGTCATCTCTTCCAGGTCCAAGGTTCCCCATGTACCTTTAGTGTATTGGACCCTCATACCCACTCACCCCTTGTGGAGAGCAGACTTCAGGGTAAGGTAGAATATAAATAAGTATACCCAGGACCTTTTAATTTATAGCTTTTTATTTTATTCCTGTTACTAAAACTGCCTTTCCCCAATCTTATGACTCCTCATTAGAGAATAATGATAGGAGGGAGCTTATTCTTTTATCCCTCTTGTTTTCTGGAACCGGTCCATGTACAAGGTCACCGCAGATGCAGCCACCCTGGTACCGTGTGATCCTGCCCTGGACCAAGGTGGATACCCAGCTCAGTCTGGGCAGATAATTCCCTCTATAGATCGAGAATTCAGGGTGGCTACTGAACATCTCTTGTTATTATCTTTATTAATTCAATATTTATTTCTTGTCTTGTTGGTAGCAGTCCCCTTTTGCTAATGGTCAAGAGCCCGGGGCCGAGAATCTGGGTCATATCCCAGCTCTGCAACTTAGTTTCCATTAGTTGTGAGACCTTAGCTAAGATGCATTCACCTGTACCTCAATTTCCCCAGCTATAAAGAAGGGATAATGTGCTGATTAAATTAGTAAACAAGGTCTTCCCAGGTGGTGCTAGTGGTAAAGAACCTGCCTGCCAATGCAGGAGACATAAAAGATACAGATTCAATCCCTAGGTCGGCAAGATCCCCTGGAGAAGGGCACAGCAACCAACTCTGTATTCTTGCCTGGAAGATCCCCATGGACAGAGGAGCCTGGTGGGCTACAGTCCAGAGTGTCGCAAAGAGTCGGACATGACTGAAACTATTTAGCACGCAAGGTGAGGTTAAAATGAGTTGTCCAAAGTACTTAAAACCATGCCTAGCAAACAGTGAACTTCATGTTGCATTTGCTCCTTCTCTGTTATGTTTGGGGTGGGACTGACCTCAGCCTTGGCTCCAGGACCAGACACATGGCCCCAGCCTGGCCAAAGAGTATTTCGTTCCATCTGGTGGGTCAGAAGTGGGCATGTGACCAAAGCTGGGCTTTCCTGTGGCCAATCCTGAGACTTGCTGAGGCTCTTGGAGAACCAGAGGTTTGAGGAAGACAAGAAATCCGAGTCCTGTTAGTCATCTGGTCCCAAGAGGGCTGAACCAGGAGGGATTGGACCTCTCACAGGGGCCAGTGGAAGAAGTGCCTCCTGCGGGGCCGAGTGACCACCTGGATCCAGTGGGCTGGAAATGTTTGGGTATTTGAGCTGTTAAATTCCCTAATTAGCTTGAATGAGTTTGAGCTGCTTTTTCCCTTTTGTGTCCCCCGCAGAAGAAAAACAATCCTGATACTTTCAGTCTGAGCTGGTTCCTTGAACAAAGGAGAAAAAGCCATGCCCATCAGGGCCACCCAGTGTGCGTATGTGGAGAAGCAGGCCTCCAGATCGCCCTCCAGGTCCTGCTGCACCTGGCCTCCCAGGGTCTACAGGACGCCAGTGTAACCTGATAGTGAAGCTCAGGTTTACTTTCAGAAAATAGTAAACTGATTTTCTGAAATGTATTTTCTGATGTGTTTTTTTTTAGCAAGTAACGTAAACAGAAAATAAACGGTCTTTAAGGTCCCCATGTATATCATAGGGCTTCCCTTGTGGCTCAGCTGGTAAAGAAACCGCCTGCAATGCGGGAGACCTGGGTTCGATCCCTGGGTTGGGAAGATCCCCTGGAGAAGGGAAAGGCTCCCCACTCTGGTATTCTGGCCTGGAGAATTCCATAGACTGTATAGTCCATGGGGTCACAAGTCAGATACTACTGAGCAACTTTCACATGTATAATAACTTGCTACTGTATTTGCCAAACAACAAATATGATCCTAATACATGGACTTGTGTTTGAAAGACAAAAAGTCTCCTCTCTACACTCACTGTCAGCAGATAACTGGAGTCCACACTTGCATGCTAAGTTGCTTCAGTCGTGTCCGACTCTTTGTGACCCCATGGACTATAGCCAGCCAGGCTCCTCTGTCCATGGGATTCTCCGGGCAAGAATACTGGAGTGGGTTGCCGTGCCCTCCTCCAGGGGGTCTTCCCGACCCAGGGATCAAACCCATGTCTCTTACATCTCCTGCATGGGCATGCAGTTACTTTACCACTAGCACCACCTGGGAAGCCTCCCCTACCACCTTAATAAATATGTTGGCGAAACAGAAGTGTGATCTCTGGTTGCATCTTTCTTGTCTACTCTAGGATGAAAAGGCCCCACCCCCACCCCCACCCCACATAGCCCTAGGACTTCTGTCTCCTCTCCAGAACTGGGGAGGATTGCTCCCCAGCTTTTTCCACCAATGGCTGCTCCTTTTTGCCTTCAAACAAGTCTAAGAGTCCCCTGTTATCTAAAATTCAGGATTTTAAGAGTGCTGCAGGCTTGCCTCTGCCTATAACCTGCATACTGTTCTCAGCGTTCTGTTCTCTCAGAGCGTCTCTGGCCAGCGCCAGGCCTTGGCTCTGTCCTGGGTCCAGCCTTCTCTGGGCATTGGACGTAAAGAGGTTCTTTCCTCTAGGACATCAGGGTACCAGTCTCTGGTGTCACCCTTCTGCCACCAGGGTCCTCCAGGCTGCTACAGCTTCTCAGGATGCTGGCCTTTCTCCCTACGCTCTTGCCTACTTAGCCTCTTTTCTGCAATTTCAGGGTTCACTGTATTCAAAATCACCACTTCCGCACTAGCAGTGCTCTCTGCTCAGCATCTCGGCCGGGCAGTGGAAGGGTGAGGGGCTGGGACCGCAGCATGTGGACTCGAGTCCCACTTCCACTGGTCCCGAATCTCACGACCTTGGCCAAGTTACTACCATGCCTTGAGCTTCAGTTTCCTCATCTGAAATGAGGGTGATTTCATGAGAAATCACAATAACAATAAGAGCCTATAATAACAATAATAACAATAACCCCATGAGATGGGGTTGATGATAACACCCACCTCACAGGATTGCTGCAGGCACCAAGAGGGATGCTGTATGGAAGAGCTCACTGAACACTTAATGCATGGTATTGAGTATCTTTAGAGTGAAAAATTAAGAAAACAGGCCGTTTTCTTACGGCTGGCCAGGTCCTTTCCTAACTGTTCAACCTTGACTCCTGAATTAGCATTTTGTGAATTTTCCTCATCTGCAAAAGGGACATCTTGTCATGACCCTTCCCCTCTTAATAGGAAGAGGAAGGTGGTGACCACACGCTCAGTGCTCTGACCAGTACCTTGCACACAGGAAGTGTTTACTAAACATCTGCTGTTACTTATTTCACCACCCATATCTGCTTCCCCAGCTTTTCCCTAGTTCACAGGATCTGTAACCTTCCCGCCGTTTCAATGCCCACGTCCTTCAGTCTTCACGTGATCCCAGGTGGCTTCGGTGACCGAGGTGTGTTCAAGGCACTGGCCCTGGTGGTGCACATCCAGGAAAGAAACCCTGGTGGTTTCTGTCTCCCCCGTCTCATCCTGACATCCTCCTCCACCCAGGCTGCTTGCATGGGGTCTGCCTCTGACCTGAGGACACCGTGAAGTCTTTATATGATTTGCCATCCTTCGGTTTATTTGTCTGAACTTGATGTGTAGCAGGCTCTTATTGTTTCTTCCTAAACACTTTCCTTCTCTGAGACAAACCCTTTTGTCTGTAGACTGGCCTCCTGATCTCCTGTCTGCCACCAACATCAGAACACTCTGGGCAGCCCTGCTGGTGGTTGAAACATTCCGACATTGGCTGCAAGTATGTATGTGTCAACCCCAGTCTCCCAGTTCACCCCACCCCTGTTTTGACCTCGTTTCCTTTGTATCCATGTCTGTTCTCTACCTCCGTGTCTCTAGTTCTGCTTTGTAAAATAAGATTGTCTATACCACATTTCAGTTTTTTATAAGCCACCCAGTTGGTGTACTTTGTTATGGCAGCTCTAGGAAATGGTTACACGGACTTCATGGGCTGGAGCCTTGGCTGAACCTAAGCTGCTGACAGTGAGCTGCCAGAGCGGGCTGCTCGAGAGTGGTCTCCTGGCTGGCTGATCTGCTCGCATCCCATGGGTCAGTGTCCCGCCAGGTCGTCCCTCCACCACCCTCCCATTCTCAAAGTGAAGTGGTAGTTGCTCAGTCAGGTTCCACTCTTTGTGACCCCATGGACTGTAGCCTGCCAGGCTCCTCTGTCCATGGAATTCTCCAGGCTCGGAGTGGATTGTTATTCCCTTCTCAAGGGAGTTTTCCCAACCTAGGGATAGAACCCAGGTCTCCCGCATTGCAGCCACCAGGGAAGCCCCAGCATTCTTGCCTGGGAATTTCCTCAGACAGAGGAGTCTGGTGGACCACAGTCTATGGAGTCGCAAAGAGTTGGACATAACTGAGCAGCTAATACTTTCACTCTTCTGGTCCCCTTCTCAAAGCCCATTTCTAAAGAGCCCATTCTGCCTGCACACCATCTTTCTAGCCATGCATTTCAGTAGCCCCCTATCGCCTATCAATTCATTGCATCAAATTAAAAAACCTAAGTTTTTTTTTTTATCCTCCTTTGTTCCAAAAGATATTTAGGATAGTATCTTATTTCCTTTTTTGAGATTCTTAGTGATCTCACTACAAAACTAGACCTTCAAAACAGTCTCAGAATCCAGACCGAATTATTAGCTTAATTTGTTCAGATCATCCGTTCACTTGCAGACATTGTCTCCAGGGGCATTACTCTGTGCCTGGCACAGCAGTGCATCAGTAGTCAACCCTCGCTCTCAGGAGCGTGAGTTCAGCTGGGACTCCAGCCTATGAAGTCAGTGTATCCATTTCCTGGAGCAGCCATAACAAAGCACAAAACTGGGTAGCTTATAAAAACAGAAATGTATTGATAATTCCTCACAGAGCTGGAGGCTGGGAGCCCGAGTTCAAGGTGTAGGCAGGCAGGGCTATACTCCCTCCAAAGTTTCCATGGAAGACTCCTTCCCTGCCTCTTGTGGTTTCTGGTGGCCCTCAGTGTTCCCTGGTCTGTGACAACGCAACCCCAATTTCTGCCTCCGTCTTCACATGGGAGTCTTCTCCTGTATGTCCAGATTTCCTGCTTTTTATAAAGACACCAGTCATTGGACTTAGGGCCCATTCTAATGTAACATGTCTTCTAAATGACATCTTAGCAAAGACCCTCTTTCCAAATAAGGTCACATTCTCAGGTGCCAGGTGCTCGAGCTTAACATCTCTTTTATGGGGACACAACTCAATCCACAACAAAGCAGCGAGGACAACAAGTGAGAACAAAATTTTAATGAAAAATAGCTTTTTAAAAAACTCCAAATTTGCTTAAAATTCACAATTTTATAGTAGACACCAGTATGGACAGTGGTTGAGAGCTTGGTCCACTGAATCATAGCATCTGAGTTTAAATCCTAAAGAGATAAACTTCTTCCCTTTTTCAGAAATAGGTTAATAGTAGTGAGATGGTTGGATGGCATCACAGACTCAATGGACATGAACTTGAGCAAACTCCAGGAGATAGTGAGGGACAGGGAGGTCTGGCGTGCTGTAGTCCATGGATCGCAAAGAGCTGGACATGACTTAGTGACTGAATAACAACAAAAATAGTAATGCCTATGTCACTGAACTGTTGGGAGGTGGTGAGCATGTCAATTTAACATGATAAACATGACATGATAAACATGTCAATTACCATATATAACACCTGACCTAATAGTAGTATTTAACCATGTATTCTAATTTACTCCTTTTTAATTTGTCATTTAGAATCTTAATTTTTCAAAAAGCTAGAACATCTTAAAGGAATTGTTATTGCACCTTAAATCAAGCATTATTTGCACTCGTGCAATTTTTAGCTGTCGTTTTGTAAATGGGCTCCTCTATGCTCATACAGTTCACCTTCTATTAAGTAACAGGGATTATAAATATCAAGTAATTCAGACACTATATTCCGTTGCCTTGAACATTCCGCTCACATGGCCTACCCTCTATGGGAAGGTAAATCAGATTATAAAATTGAGCCATTATGACATTGTATAGCCACTGCAGTGAACTGGAAGACAGTGCTTACTTGATTTTATTTAAACTGAACTTTCCCATAATGACAGCAGCATGGGACAACATAACAACCCATCCGCCAAGTTCAAGAGCTCTCTGTTTACACAGTACATAGGTAAAATGGGTTTTGCTACTATGAATTTTACCTGTAGTGACTGTTCATTAATATGGGCCAAGGTAAATTGATTAGACTATCAATCTCTGGAAAGTAGAAGCTTCACTGAATATTATGGTAAGAGCAAATTGGCCACATTTCCCCACTAATCTTGAAAGGAATGGACTTGAGAGGAAAAGGTATAGAAAATATGGGAAGTTTCTTTGAATTTATTATTAT